GGCTTGTGGTTGGTGCTTAATACATGTAAAAAATCTCATTTTTGGAATTTAAAGACTTTTTGATACTTAAATAAGTATGTTTTTGAAAAAAAATATAATAATATTTTAAAGAAAAATTTTGAAAATAAATATGCTATGGAAAATAGAGATTCAAAACCCACTCTTCTAAGGATATAAGAAGTCTTTATAGCCCATCCTCCTCACCTTTTTATCTTGGTGAGGACTAATCTTAATTTCCTCACCTTTTTATCTTGGTGAGGACTAAAAGATTTTTTTTCTTAATCATATCCCAAACTTTTATATGTTAGAAAAATATTTGTTTTATTTAAAAGGAAAAAATATCATTGACCTAAACAAATGAAAAATATCTTTGTATGCATGTGAGCTCTAACAAGAACACTGAGTTATCATGTAATCTTTGGTTTCAAAAAAATAAGGATTCAAATGAAAACAAAAACAAAAACAAAAACAAAACTTGTTTATAATTCAAATTGTTTCTGTTTTCTTATATTGAAATCATGTCCAGCAAGAGTCACTACTAGATGGTAGCCGCACGATACTGGAATAAAATGTTATTGATGTTCCTACTGTAGTATATTGGATATAGGTGAGAAGACAAATTATCTAGGGAAGCAATTGTATATTATCACTCGAAGTCGGTTACTAGGGATTCAGGGCTTTGCAAGTATATGTGATGAGGAATTTCATGAGAAGAACAACCGGCAATACACTAGAGATTGAGCTCGTGGATAACATGACATGGTCCAAACTCCCTATGGCAGAACACTTTGTGCAGAAAGCAGCTGGTCATTTACTAGCCCCACTTAATTGATTATGACTTGTAAAGGGGTCGAGCATTGAAATGGCTGTTAGCTAGCAATAGAGAGCAAACCGTAGGATGATATGTGATGTTATTGTCAAAGACAATCCTTAATAGGTTCCCAGGACAAGCACTCTGAAAAAATACAGATGCCAATGAGGCGATAGAGCAGAAAAGTTCCCCTATCAGGAAAGTGGGAACCATAAAAATATACCTTGCTTTTCAATGTCTGTGCTTTGTTTACAGGTTAATTTATCTTGAAGGCCTTTACCACCCTTCAGAATCTGGATGTTGATATTTGTTACTGATAAACTCTGCATGTTTCGGAAGCAAATCCTGCATATGTCAAGGCCCTTTATCGCCGTGGAATGGCCTCCCTGGAAGTTGGAGATTTTGAGGAAGCAAGGGGTGATTTTGAAATGTTAACGCCTGTAGTTGATTTTAGTGAAGAACTTCAAATTCTATGACATCCATTATCTGAATATGCTTCTGGATGTTAGATGATGAAAACCGACAAGTCATTTGAACCGGATGCAACAGCAGCTTTTAAAAGCTGAAGCAGAAGCAGCAGGTGGCGGTGGTAACCTGCAACCATACTCTTTTGCAATTGGTGACGGAGATAGACATTTTATATCATGCTTTGACGAGCAGGATGTGGAGAAAAAGGCAAGGAGAAAATCGCTGATGCTGGAGCGGATAACAGAGGGGAAGAGCAGAGTACAAATAAAAACAACCACGAGAATGATGGTTCTCTCCTGTGGCCAGTTAGTAGAGTATTGTTTTCAGCTCTTGGGCTTCAAAGATGCACGATATCATGACAAAGCTTTAGGGTTTGGCGGAAGCAGCATTATTTCTGTCAACTGGCTGGCAAATTCAGACTTCGAAAGGAAGAAAACATATTAAAGAAGGTTCAATATACCATTTTCAGTGTAGCCTCACAAAGAAAATAATTTTTTGGGCTACGTTTATGACGATATATATCCATGGCAAAACACATCACAGGAGGTTCAATATACTATTTTCATTGAAACTTAAAATGGACGTTGTTGAATTACTTACTACATTTGATCTCAATCATGTGACGGTACTTCTATTTTCAACCTGCGAGTCAGAGCAATCTGATGCCTTGTGCTCGTGGTGGCTGTCATTTATATAGAACCTTGAAGAGAATGGAAACAGAGTGCTTGGAACCTAGTCCGTGCAAGACTAGGCACTCTTGCCAATCTTCAAGCTTCCGATTTGTTTTTTCTTTGGTCATGAGACGATGGGAGGACTTTTGCTAGCCTTGAAAGCTCCTTTTCTTATACAAATCAAATCATATAGCGTACGCAAACTGTTCAAAGTGTTCAAATGCATGCTGGAGCTTGGGGAGTTGATTAGACAGCCCTTCGAAGGTTTGGAGTATCTGTATCAACAGTGCTAATTTGGCTAGAAGGTCTGGAAATCCACCCTTCATCCTAAGGTTTTGAAAACTCCCTTGTGGGGGCAACAAGGAAATAAAATAAACTTCTCTGGCATTTGCAAGTGCCAAGCCACCCGAAACTTTTGATGCCGATTTTTGTCTCGTATTGATCCTTTACTCAACTTGTATAATAAAGCAGTCCCGCCAAATTAAAAACCGCAAGTTGTTTGGAACGATTACCACGAGCTTCTGGGAATTCGGCGTTAATACCACTTCGTAATAAAAGTCACTTTTTTTTTATCTTGCAGGGTACTTCAGTCAAGACTGAGATGATAGCAGGAATTAAATTTCAATGAAAAAGAACGAAACCTTCATTTTAATTCTTTCTGCAATCATATTAATGGTTTGCTACATATTTTAACTTTGAATTTCAAGATTAATCAATAAGTGTAAACTACAGATAACATGATGTCATTTCTTATTTATTTTATAGCGTAGTATATTTTAGTCTTCAGTGGTCATGGAATATTATTTGTTTATACTGATATTCTTGGAAGCTATTTATATTTATTTACTTATTATTAAATTAAATAATTTGAATAGCATTTCCCAGTTAGAAAAATATGGTTCTTGTTTACTTTTTCGCCCCCCCCAGGAAAAATCCAAAAACTCCCATAAAATTATTTACGGTAAAGTCTTTTTCGGAGAAAAAAAGAGCTTTATATTGAAAGATCAAAAACTTACAAACCATGTTCAGGAAGGATGTAATCAATATCAACACATTAATTCATATGGGAGCAATCGACTCATGTTCAAGATACGATCATTCATCATAGGGTTATATAAACACAAGTTTAACGGCACACTTTATACTAATTTCTGCAGCTTGAACAACAAAAGAGGGCAAAGAAAACAAAGCACACGCATAAAGATGCTTGAACAAACATGCCAGACAGAGGAAACAGAAGAGAAAATACATGGTCAGTGAAATGAATACTGAATCATCATCATCAAACTTTAGGAGTGGTTTCGTTTTGGCTGGCAATAGCAAGAGCACGAACCTTCACTAGGAAGAAACCAACGGTGTGACCAGCCACGGCTGCTATAAATATTCCAAGATTGAAAGACATGACAGCAAGCATGACCATGTAAGCAAAACCCATACGAACAGCATAAACACAGGTTTGAATAAGCGCACCCACTATGGGATTGTGAGTGCCTCTTTTAGCTGTTGGGGAGACCGAAAATATCTCAATAGCAGCAGCCAACAAGAACACACAGAAGAAAGCCAATATGTACATACCGAGGCTGCCGTTTGGCCATCCAGAGAACAGGACTATAGCATCTTTTCCCCAGTAGAAACTCATATGCATGCCACTATCAGACATGGATCCAGGATCCATGCCATCGTGATCATGACCCTGAGACATTTTTTTTTTTGAGAGAGAGATCAAGTATCAAGATTAGAAAGGTTTGATTTTGTGATGATCGTATCTTCTTGGGTGCCTCTAATTTAAACAAGAGATGTCAAAACAAGTACAAAAACAAGAAGGCCTTGTTTGTTCTCTTGCTAATGACAAAAAAAACCAATAAGTGTTAACAGGTGATTAGGAGTTCAGGACAAGGATAAAGAGAGCTTATAGGTCAAAACGCGCGTATGACCAGCTTACACCTTTTTTAAAAATAAAAACAAAAATTAGCATAATAAACTTAAAATTAAAATTTTGATACATTAATATGTTTAAAAAAGATTTGATAAAATAATACATTTTAAACTTATCACACTTATAAAATATACATTTAAATAATATCATCTTTCACAAAAATAATATTTAAATTAATATCCTAGTATAGAACCACAATATTTATTATATATTTTCAGCTTTTTAAAAAACACACATTGTGCACGTTAAGTTCTTATCAGAATCTAGTATGTAAATTAAGGTAATCATTTGTTTTAGTGGATTTAAATCTTTTAAAATACTGTCAAATAAAAATATTAGAAAATAAAAAACACGAGTAAAATGAATAAAAAAAAATGATGGAAGAATTGAACATGTTCTCCGCAGGTTCTTAATTAGCATCAACGATCAATCCTAGACTTTGAAATAACCGATTCTCATTGTTTTAATGGATGTAATTTTGAGAATACACACACACACACACGTATGGTTTTTATAAATTAGATGTGATAATAACAAAATTAAGGTATCACTTTCACTATGTAATGCCCACTAATTTATCAGTTTAATGAGCCCTTGAGAACACAAAAGAGTCCGAATAATAGTAGCCAAATTTTATTTTATTTCATTCGAACTTTACCGCCAGCAACGTGCAGGTCCCGCTAAGTCTCTTTTTTTTTTTTTTTGGGGGGGGGGGGGGTAAGGATTGTTAATTTCATGTTTTGGATGTTTTTGTTAATAATTAATATAAATTATATTTAATAATTTAAATTAAGTTATTAAATTATATTAATTTTTAATTTAGTATTAGAGTTCACATATTTGAATTTTATTATTTTTATTTATTTGATAGTATTTAAATTTAATATAGCATAAATCTGTATAATTTTAAGTTTTAAAAAATTTTATTTTAAAAAATATATTAAAGAATAAACTATTAAATTAAAGTGATTGTTCGACAGCTTTTTTAAATTTACTCTTCACGCCTTTACCTTCAAGTTTCTCGGCCAGTTTAGCCACGTCCACAACATGCTTTACACCTAAATCTTCCAAGAAATATATGCACTTTTCTTGGACTAAAAGTGAAACCATGCCATTAGACTCTTAAACTAAATATATAAAACTATATAAAATTGAGAATGTTAAACTTATAATCAAACATGCTCTGCAAAGTATAATTAAAAAGCCAAGCACAAATCGCACGATGAAGTAGAGACTCGGGCTCTCTATCTTGTATTATTTCCGTGTTATTCACACAAATCGGCACCATAAACGGTCAGCTCTAAAACGTTATGCTCACCAATCACACAATATCACGCAGATCAATTCAACATTTCGAAGGAGGAAGATCCGGACCTTTTTCAGACCCATATCAAGAGCCACCAGACTTCTTCAGAGCCCGACTCCCAAAAAGAGCGAAGCCAACTGCATGGCCACCCACTGCCGCAAGAAAGACACCTCCGTTAAACGACATGACAGCGAGCATTACCATGTAAGACAGCCCAGAACGCACCGCATACATTCCAGTTTGAAAGAAGCCTGCAGCAGCCTTGTTAGTTCCTGGCTTGACGACACTGAAAAGACTGAACCCCTCCACAAGGACTGCAAGAGCAAAGACAAAGGTCAAGGCCACAGCATACATCCCAGTGCTTGAACCAGGCCAACCTTTGAAAAGAACTTCTGTTTTATGGCCCCAAAAGAAGGTCATGTGCATCATCATTTTGCGGTGGGGATGCGTGAAGCCTGTGGTGTCCCACGCTTCTGTCAGAGAAGAAGATACGGTGGTACCGTTGTGTGGCATCATCACCTCATTATCTCCCATTTATCTAGTGGCTGCGATGTTGGTATACTTTGGATTGGCTAAACTATTCAAGACTCTGTGTGTGTGAGAGTGAGAGTGAGAGTGAGAGAGAGAGAGAAGTGGAGTGGAATGAGATTCTATCTCTGTGCTTGGGTTTTTATATTGGTTTATAGGAGGACAGTAAGATCACGTTTCAGGTAGATAATGCAGAAATTACGGTTCTTGAAATACCTTGCTTTCTACTTGTACATTAAAATGGGCACCACTTTTACAAGTTTCTTCTATCTTTCAAAAGGGCTCATAGTTATATAGCAGGGATTTTATGCTTTCACTTTTGGTGATATGGCTAGCTTAAAAAATGGAAGGAAATATACTCAATCTATATTTCAGCTCCCACAAATATGCAATTACTCGCTTGGAAGCAATCAATGGTCGAAAGTGAGCAGGAAATTAGGATCGTACAGGAATTGGTGGGTCAGGCAAAAAGAATGATGCCACGTAAAGAATCGGCTTGTGCGGCAAGACGCCTGTCAAGTGCCACAGCTGTTTGGTTTTAGTTCAAGAAAAACCACGTGCCTGCAGGTTCCTAACTTTCATCTCAGATATTCGTTTTCGGATCGATGCCACAAACAAATGAGAGAGAGGTAGCTATTATTGTTCGGATATTTTTTTGGAAAACCAAAATTTAATATTAAGGAGTTGTTATAAGAAAAATATAATGATCTCGAGATTTATTTTAATTTCCTTTTAACTGTATCTAATTATATATTAAACTTTATGTGCTCGATCTTTTAATTACTCTTTAATTAATTGCATGCATAACAATCAAGTATTTTTAATGAGTCATTAATTTATAAGATGGTCATTAAATCCTTAACCGTTTTAGAATTTAAATATTTGGAAAAGATAGATTTTTTAAATGTTACACACAGGGGCGGAGTTGGGATAATTTAATAGGAAGGGCCTAAACTAATATAACAAGTATAATTTTTCATATGTAAACCATACTAACATATAAAAATAAAATTAAAACATTAAAAAATTGATATATAAAAACAAATTTAATATAAAAAATAATATTATTGGTTTCTAAAAAAAACTTGAATTAAAACTAAATATGTGTTTTTTAAAGAACTTAATTTAGCTAGAAAAAAAGTGTCAAATTATATATTAGACCTAATGATAGTAAGGTACATATGAGAAAAAAATTAATAATTTTGATAATTATGCTAAAACTAAAATATAAAAAAATTTAAGTATAAAAAACAAATCTATAAAGTACATCCAAATTATTAAAAAAAACTAAATTCACTACAACAACTAGTAAATATAGAAAAACAATAACAGAAATATATATATAAACCTTATCAAATTCTTAACCTCATCACTAATTACCTTATTTTATTGAACAGTGAATTAATTCCAAGTTTTATTTTAACATTTCTACATTGCTTGTATTATTGTATTTTTTTTGTTAGGATTCCAAAGAAAAAAGATAGAAAAATAGTAAAAAAAAAATTAAATTGAAAAGGTTTTATTTTTTAACAACTTGGATAAAGAGATAATTTTATATTTAAAAATAATTAATAAAATAATATTTAAATACTAAATAAAAAAATATAAAATATTTTCCAGGGGTGTTTTGCAGCGCCCGGCCCCTGCTTGCCACCCTTTAATTCCGCCTCTGGTTATACATATATTTGGAGTCCAAATATATATATATGACATTTAAAAAATCTATCTTTTATTAGCTACAAATTTTGTCTCCTCCATTAAAAACTTGTATTGGACTCCTTTGTTTTTTTCTCTCCCAATAAATTAAATTCATATCATACAAGTTTATTTAGTTGTTACATTTGGGCTATTATTTCTAGAGTTTTCTTACAAGTAGTTCATGCTTATGCTTATGCTTATGAAGCTTGGCTCTTACAAGTAGTTCATGCTTATGCTTATGAAGCTTGGTAAGGTAGCTAAGTTTGTTGTATTCCTAAGATGATCGATGTGCAACACTGTCCTGATTTTGGTTGGAAAAATTCTACTAAGTTTGCGTTGTATCTTAATTGTTAAAAATTAGTTCTGGTTATTAGATTAGAGAGATAATCTTAGTATTTCTTTTTTAACAAAAAAAAAAGTATTTTCTTTTATTCATCGAAGCCCTTCTATCTTGTGTTTCAAATCTCTTCTTTGTGAGAAAAAATAATTCTGTTAGGATGGTCTTGATTGTTGAACTAATTTAATACTAACTGTGTTTTGCTTTACTTTAAATTTAGAATATCTTCTTTGTGACAAACAGAAACAGAAAACTTGGTTGGATGCTGAATTTCATAGATAATATATGAAGTTAAGATTCAATACAAACATTGCTTTGTCTAGTGTTAAATTTAGAAATATTTTTATTTACATTCAGTATCCTGAAAGTTCCAAAGCTTCAAAAAATTAAGGGATAAGTTCGCTATCCAAAGAATTATAGAGTCCATAACAAGGAAGCCAACAATAGAACTTTGGTCTAGTGTGATGAAATCTCTGCGTTAATTAACAACAAAAAGAAGAAGTCATATCAATACTCTTCTGGCAAGTTGTTATATAAATTTCTTTATTAAATTATTTGCTTCTAAACCGAGAACTCTTACGATAACATGCTTTTTATATAGTAATGTCTCTTTGTTTTTCCCCCAGAAAACAAAAAAGTGATGACACATTTATTCGTTCCCTGACTGGATCATTCATGTAGAGTGATGCGACAGGAATTTCATCTTCATCCAACGTGGATGAGTTAACAAGGGGCACTGTTGCTTCGTTGGAGAAAGCTGGGTGTGGGGCAGCGAAAGGGGATCCAAAGGAAAATTGCCCTTTTAATTTTTTTTTATATTAAAATTTTAATATAATAATTTCATAAACTTTTTTTTGTTTGAATTATTATTCATACCTATTTTTCTCCTACAATTTTTTTTTAAACAAATTCTAAATTTTTAATTACTTAAGTAACCTTTTATACTTTATGCTTAATGTTTTAGATAGGTTTTCTTCATTTTTTTTTATTTCATTGTTTAATTTTAGTTTTATTTCTTAATAATATGATAATTTATAAATTTGTTAAATTAATGTGTATGTATAATATTATATACATATGAATATAAATTGAAATGAGTTTTGATGAATTAATATATTTTGTTATGAATTTCATATGAAAAACAATGGTAATCAATGCACTAGTGATTAAAAATGAAATATTGAACAACTAAAAAATTAGAGATACAATAAAAAAATTAAAAAATATATATTAATATTTATATTTAACCCACTTGTATAAAACAACAAATTAACAACGAATTATTATTAATAATTTCACTAGTCTTTATAAAATTTAAAAATATATGAATAAAAGTTTCATTGTATATATTAAAAAAGAATATCTTTAATGAAATTAATAATGAAATCATTATTAAAAAATTTTAAAATATGAAAACTAAAAAAAAAAATTATAATGTAAATTTTTTTATTTTAAAATTTTTTTTAAGTTAATTTTACTTGACATGAATTAATAAATACATTTCAAATTAATTTCTTTATATAAAACACATGTTAATATAATATATAATATTATATATTTATAATTTATTTTTTTATTTTAAATTTTTTAGCTCCGCCACTTGTTAAAGTTATTGAAAGGGTTACGCACTTCGCCATAGATGGACATTTCTGCAAGCACAAATTTGTCTAGAACTCGCAATTCAGTACTGCTCGATGCTGGGTCAGGGAAGCTACATGCAACCTGTATTTATATTGCAAAATGAGGGGAATATTGTGTTTAATATTTGTCTTCCATGTCAGTTGAGTGGATGGTTTTTTTTTTTTTTTCTGGGGAGAAATGGAATAGTATTCTTGAATTAAATGATAGCGAGATATAAAGAATCTGGAATGAAATTCCGGTTGATTATATATGGCGCTCATGGACTGGCTGTCATTTGTGCATAATTGGCTGGTACTCATCAGAATAAGAGCTTTCTTTTATTTATTTTTTACTCTTTGTTTTTATGTGAGGGCTGCATTTATGTGTGCGTGTGAGTGTGTGTGTGTGTGTTAAGAATAAACACAAAACAAACACAAACGGTTCTTAATAATCTCCAAATAATCACAAACAAGTCCCGTGAAACAAGTTTCCTGTGTCATAAGCAGAGGACCCATCGATGCTTAGACTAGTAAATATATTTATTCCCCTTTTTTTTTAATTGACGTAGGTATTTGCTATAATTTATGTATACTTAATTAATCTTACATACTTTAAAATGATTATATAAATTTTTAATAATACTAAAATTTATAAAATTTAAATTAACTATTTTTATAAAATAAACTTAAAATCTAACCGATTAAACTATATTTTAATATTCTGATTTCACCTTTCGCTCTAGCTAGTCGGTGTTAAAATATTTTTAAAAGAACTGTGTGAAACTGCCAAGCGACGGCCATGTGCTAGGTGGAGTCTTCATGGAAGGTGATGTGTGGAGCCCAAGCATTAAAGCATAATAAATAAAAATAATTAGTGATAGCCCAGAGATATAATAATTGTAATTCTTTCAAATATATTAAATAAATGGCCTTCAAACTCAACGAAACGCTAATGGCCGTAATCCCACTTACCTTTCCCAACTCCTCGAAAGTATTAATACAATAAACAATTATGATGTATGTAAAGAGCAATCTTTTTATTTAAATAATAATGAAAATTAGCTCAAATTGCTCCAATTTCATAATTAAGACTTTTTTTTGTTTCTTTTCCTAACCTTTTGTATTTCTAGAATTAATTACTAGTTTTTTAGTTTATGTTATTTCCTAGCTTAGCCTTTAGTCAAATAGGAAAAACAAAGAAGGCTTTTGGTAGACCTTTAGCCTCTATTATCATATCATTCAAGTTTTTCACAGTTTATCATGCTTTTGTTTTTTAGAATTTTTAAAATAATCTCATATTCTTTTCGCTACATGTTGTGTCAGCTTGCCAATTATTTTGAATGATTAATTATATTTTACAATTTTATTTTTTTTAGTTATTAAACTCGACTAAAAAAACCTCACTTCAAACCTTTTTACCAGCTCCATACTTAGCCCAAGCTTCAAAGTGTTTGTACACATATTTTTTTTTACAATTGATAATATATTGTAGCATTTTCAAACATGTAAATCAGATAAATAAACATGAGTACAACAATATTTCTTCAATATGTGGGTATATTTCTACTTTTTTTTTTGTTCGCTACACTTGAACACATGAGGAAAAAAAGTATAAGAGTTATTATAAAATCAAGATCTAAATTAAAAAGATGTTAAAAAATCAAAAACTAAATTAAGTAAAAGAGAAAAATAGTGTTTTAGCACATGTAACACAAGTATCAATATGTGTATGAAAGAAAGTCATATTATGGCAACACGTGTGATTTCCTCTGAGCTCCAGTGATGTCTTTTTTTAGTGTCGTTAGAATCATCTTAATGAGATCTTTTCTTCACAGTGATGTATAATGAAAAAAATCTCTACCTCAGTTTTAACGCATGATTTTTAAAAAAATCAAAGGGGGTTTCTAATTTTTTTAAACGTCAACTTTATTCTTTATTTTTTTAATTGTTATTTTTAACAATAGTTATAGTTCAATTTTGCAAAACTCAATGCTTAATAATCAATGGAACGATCTCCAAAACCATGAAGATTCTAGGGAAATATAAAATGTAAGAAAATTTTGAAATAATTTTTTTGAAAATATAACATATGAGGATGAAATTAAAAAATCAAAATTTTAAAAGAGGAAAAAACAACATGTGAGAAATAATAAAAATACCATATGACATCAGCCAAAAAAAGCTGAAAATTTTACAAAATTATCCATATTTTTATGGTGATTTAACCATTCAAAAACGCCATTTTGTTTTAACTAACTCTTTGTCCCGTGCTTTATTGCATTTCAAATCACTTTTTTATAATTGTAAAAAAACATATAAAGACATCAAGAAGGATGAAATCTAATGTGTTTTTAAAATATTAAGATTATAATATATTACATAATATATTTTTAAAAAAAATATTTTGACAATGATATATTGGATTATATCAGGTCTCACCCTTATTAATCTAACTTATAACACCATCATAACCCTATAGATTATAACAATTTTAACGCATGATTTTTAAAAAAATCAAAAGAGGTTTCCAATTTTTTTGAATATAAGCTTTATTCTTTATTTTTTTAATTGTTATTTTTAATAATAGTTATAGTTCAATTTTGCAAAACTCAATGCTTAATAATCAATGGAACGATCTCCAAAACCATGAAGATTCTAGGGAAATATAAAATGTAAGAAAATTTTGAAATAATTTTTTTGAAAATATAACATATGAGGATGAAATTAAAAAATCAAAATTTTGAAAGAGGAAAAAACAACACGTGAGAAAATCATAAAAATATCATATGAAAGCAGCTAAAAGAAGCTAAAACTTTTACAAAACTATCCATATTTTTATAGTGATTTAACCATTCAAAAACACCATTTTGTTTTAACTAACTCTTTGTCCCGCACTTCATTACAGTTCAAATCACTTTTTTATAATCGTAAAAAAACATATAAAGACATCAAGAAGCATGAAATCTAATGCGTTTTTTATAATCGTAAAAAAACATATAAAGGCATCAAGAAGCATGAAATCTAATGCATTTTTAAAATATTGAGATTATAACATATTGTATAATAGATTTTTGAAAAAAATATTTTGACAATGGTATATTGGATCTATCAAGGCTCACCCTTCTTAACTTATAAAGCTGGTGACCTAATTTATAACACCATCATAATTATATAGAATATTAATTGAAACAAATTAGGAAGTTTAATTTCTATATTTGAAAGGTAAAAAAGAAAGATAAATATTCAATTGTTTTATTAAAAAAATCTAAAAAAATAACTAATGCTAAACTCGAGATCATTGAGATTGTCATAGCTTATTTTTTATCTTTAATTTTCCTCCTTAATTTAATTTGTTATGTTTTAAACATAAATAATAAAGAGATAATTGGGAGTGAAATAAAAATAAAGAGAGAATAAGGAACTAAGGTGATTAGACACGAAAATAATAATAAGAAATTATGCAAAAGAGAAAAAGAAAATAGGAGGATCAAGCAAAATTAAAAATTTATTGAAAGAAATCCTGTACATTAAGAAGGGAAATTTAATTAATTAAGTATCAATGATCATAAGGAAACAATTTAATTGCCTATCATTATTTTTGAAGTTTTTTTTTTCTTTTTGCAAAGGATCTCAAGCAATAAAAATAAAAGATGACACAGACATAAAGATTGAAGATGGAGAGAATCTTGTAAGAAAAAACCTAAGTAAATAACCAAAGGAGATAATAAAACATAAAAAATCCAAAATTTGAAAACTAGCCTAGAAATTCCAATAGCATTGCAGCAATTTCCCGGTGTTTGTTCTCTCAGCTCCGGTGGAGGTGACCTGCACTGCTGCCACAAACAAGAAGATGAAGCAGTCTCCTATTACGCAGTATAGTCCATGCACCTTCTTGATCAACCAGTAAGCTGAAAGAAGCCTCCAATGAAAATCCGTTGTCATGCGCGTGGATAGTTTGTGCCATCACTTTCTTTTGGTCGTTTCAGCCTCTTTGGTCCGTTTCCAACCTATTCAAAAAACTTGAAAAGATCAATTTTAATCTCATATATAATGTATTTGTGGTTTCAATAATTTTTGCGATTTGTTTTGTTAAATTTCGAAGCACAGACTATGTTGACATGTATAATGTTTTGAACAAATTTAGTGCGTTCATGATTTTCTTTCTTTTTATGTTTGATCATGATTGTTTATATTAGCTGAGTTTGGTGAAACATTTATTGTTATTTATAATGCACATTCTTAGGGTAATAATTAATTTATGCGGGACAATATAAAATGAATAATTAAAATAAACAATTCAAAACTTGAGTCTCCTTTAATTATTTATTTGAATCTTGTTTCCATTAAAAAACTAAAAGAGGAATAAGCTTCATTATCAGGGCAAAATCTCTAACCACTGTCTTAAATTTTTTTACTTATAATAAATATATGTATTTAGTTTAGATGAAATATTAGCATATATTTATAATAGATCTTTTATCATAAAACTAAATAATAATGAAATTTATTTTAGATAAGATGTTTTAAGATGATTTTTATCTTTCATTTAATATAAACATTTCTTTACATAAAAACATTTGAAAATCAGTTAAGATTCCTAATAATCATAAAACTGGATAACAACTTCTTTTTTTATTTTTATCCCTTTTACATAATTAGATCGCTAAGATGTCCCCTGTGATAAGGATTAGCGCATGGAAAAACAATACAAGAATAGTTTCAACCAACCCGTTGTTGAAATATAAAATTTAAAAAAAGTTAATTTAAAAAAAAACAATGAAAAATACATGTCAATTCGAGTTAACTCATCAAATTTACAACATGAGTAATAAAACTAATATAAATTTATAAAAAAACTATATATTTTTTTAGAAAAAACTAAGCAATAAAAAAAATTATCCAACCATATTCTAAAAAAAGTTATTAGTGTAGGATTTTTTTTAAATCTTTTACTTTATTTAAATGAAGTTCAAAAAAATAAAGAGGATTTTTCCAAGAATTTGGTCTTAATGAACCAATTTCTAGACCTAAAAGCAAGGATAGGCTCGTGTGCATGCACATTTTAACTTTTTTTTTGCTTGACAAGTTGGATAACACGTTGTTCGCCCAATCAATTTTATTTTCTTGGAAACTAAGTAAACAATCCAAAAACACATACATAATAATTTAGAGATTTACATAAAAATTTTATGTCTTCAAACAATCCAAAAATCGATTTAAAAATAAACATAAAATTCAAAATCTTATTGAGATTAAATTTACCTAAATGTTGTCATTTAAAAAGAAAAACCAAAGTAGATTTTTCACCCTCTCTCTATTTTGTTTTTTATTTTGATTCTCTATCTTTCAATTTTATTTTCAATTCAAGAAAAAAAAATTTGATACCTAAATTCAAAAAAAAAAAATTGTCGCAATGTACAGTGAATTATGTGGGTGTGAAGTGTAGGTTATACTAATTTGCCCAAGCTTTTTAATGTTAATTAATGATCAGCTCACGGCAACTTTGTGAGCACATTAACTAGTTCTAATTAAAGAGAATATAAAATGTGATTCCAAATATTTTCATAATAATACTCGTCAAAAAAGATAGACACAAAAAAAAAATGAAATTCATGACCCACTAAAATTATAAAAATATCTCTACCTAGAATTTTTTTAATTATATTTATTTTTTATAAAAATAAATAATAAAACATTACTAATTACTTAGTTATAAAATTTCTCAATAAAATTTAATTCTGTTCCCATAGCCAAAAATGAAAAGAATTAATGATGGAGACTAGAGAAAAAAAACACTAGCTTATATATTAAAACAAAAAAGCCCACTGAGTTAATCAAAAGAGCGAAAAGCCCATTATTCTTCTATGATCAGGATGACCAGGGGCGTCAGGTTCTTTAAGAACTTCCAGCATTAAATGTTCAATTAATTAAGATTTGAAATTATTCACTTTATTCCGATCCAATAACCTAAAAGCCCAAAGGAAGTATCCAGAAGGATAAAAAAATCCCATGATGAACATTCAGAGGACTTAAAAGACATTGCCACGAATGATGAAGAAGTAGAAGGCCATCGAAGGTTGTAGATGAAGCATGGCACATCCAGACCTCATTCATATCATTCAAGGGAGACGCGCCCAGAAACTTCAAAGTCCCCACAACCCTCCCTATTTATATGACCATCCCCTTCTTTGGATATCCATCATCGGTAAAACAAAAGGAGTTGGCTTCTCACTTGCAAACCACATTTTATCAAATACTCAAAACAAAAACAAGCTTTCATCATGTCTCTGATTCGATCATTGCTTAGCAACCCACTTTCCACTGACATCTGGTCACCACTTGGTTCAAGTACTAATGAGATATCAAGTTTCGCTAGCGCGCACGTTGATTGGAAGGAGACCCCAGAAGCTCATGTATTCAAGGCTGATCTTCCTGGGCTGAAGAAAGAGGAAGTGAAAGTTGAGATTGAAGAAGGAAGGGTTCTACAGATAAGTGGAGAAAGAAGTGTTGAAAAGGAGGATAAAAACGATAAGTGGCATCGTGTTGAGAGAGGTCGTGGCAAATTCCTTAGGAGGTTCTGGTTGCCTGAGAATGCTAGAGTTGATGAAGTGAAGGCATCAATGGAGAATGGGGTTTTGACTGTTACGATTCCGAAGGCCGAGGAGAAGAAGCCTGAGGTCAAGTCCATTGAGATCAGCGGCTGAGTAAATGTCTCTGTCTTGTCATCCATCGTTTTGTGATTCTGCAAAGTTAATTTTATCAATGTTTGTGATGTTATATTTCTGCGTTTGATCTTTGGTATGTATCCCTTGTCTCTCTCGGAAAATGCATGTTTGTGTAAACGAGATATATTGTGGTAATAAAATCTGTTCTTAATTACACTTAAATTCTTGGTTTGGATTGAATTAAGATCAACAGAGAAATTAAAGCATGCATTCGAACAGAACTATATTATTATATCTTTTATGAGAGAAAAATATTTTCACATTTTGGAAACAATGAGCAAAACTCGATGATATTCCTTTTTTTGATAATGATGATCCCATAATTAACAAAACACCGAGCCGTACGCACTACGAAAATATTTTTAATGTGCCAAGCCAAAAAACCAATAAAGAAAAAAATATCAAAAGGCCTGATCCAGCTTGCTTGGGCACACTGTCGGACAGAGTCCATGAATATCTATATAAGTATTTTCTTATATATATATATATATATAAAAGTATTTTCTCATATATTTTTATTGGAAAAGAAACCTGATGATTGTTCTTTAAACCAACCAAAGTTTGTCATGAATTTTTTTTTTTTGTAATTTTAGAAAAGCACAACCATGACTATCATCTTGGAAAAGATGAGCCTCAAAATTCTCTATAAGAAATAATGTCAAAGATATGTGAGATGGAAGCCATGGCTCAATATCTTAAGATCCACCTGAAAATTTCTTTTATGATTTTTACTTGTTTATTCTTAAATCAACAAACACTCGTGACTGATTTAAAAATCAAAGTGTTCGTTATTACAAGATAAATTTATTTTGTAGGATCAACAAAAATCTAAAGCTCATCAACTGAGAAAATTCATTTCTGTTCGAATTTTCCCATAACATCATCAATTTTCATAAAAGAATATATATAAACAGAGAGCACAATTAATGCGTCAAAAACTTAGTAACATTTTTCTTTCTGCTAAACCATCTTTACCATCTTTATTTTTTTTTTATCAGAATGTAAGTACATAGAAAGATTAAAGCATCCAAACTGGAGGACCAACGTATCCAAATACATGTATAGAACAGACAGAAGACAGAGGGAACAAACCCCCTAGGAAAACAAAACTGGATATAGTAAAGCCATATCAAAAAAGGCAGACTGCCCAGCAAAGCATAATTAAGAATGTACATCTAGACAAGATCAACAAAGGGCATAGGCTCCCTGCAAAAAGGGTTCATGCAAGACCGAAAATGACAAATAGGAACACAGTTTAAGAAAGAAACCAATCCACAATTGATGGTGTCTAAGCTAACCCGTCAGCATCGTTACTATTAGGAGCCGTGGTGGTGATTTTTGGCTCAAGTAGCAAAGAAACAGACGAAACTCCCAGCAAGTTGCGCTGTGAATTTATCACCGTAGGCTTTACGATAGAAATCATATACATCGAAAACCACAAGCTGGACACCTGCGTAGAATGATAACCCTCGACAGAAAAAGACATATGATTATAGGAAAGAGGGGCGCTGATCCTTAAGGGAAAACAAACTCTCCTTTGCAACTGCATATTTTGTCCATTTCACTAGAAAAAGGAACCTGTTTTCGCAATTAATTCACTGTGCGAGGAAACCTCACATTTAGCTTCTTTATCAAAGTCGAGATCGATCAGATCGGCCACAAAACAAAATGTCTTGCAATAAAGGGATGGAAAATGAAAGCATGCATGCCAAGATTGGTATACGACAAGCTTGAAGGCGGTGGGGATTAGATAAGGAAGGAAAAATGGGCACAAGATTCCCCGCAATCAAATATTTCATGTGGGGTTTTTAGCATGATCTTGTTTATTCAAAGGAGGCCACTGCTTTCCTTTGTAGACTGCCTCTTTTTCAAACTAGGATGATCTAATTTACAATGAACATGGAAAATGCTATGACTTTGCTAGCTACCAGCAAATATATATACATAATTTAGTGGCTAATTGACTAGTTAAGTCTTCGTAATTATCTCTACAGCAAGATCAGTAAATAACTTTAATAACTATCTTCCTATAACTGGACAAATCCTAATATGCTGCTACATTTTTTATTGTTATGTTTATTATATCCTTGCAAAATATTCAGCTCTACAATATCTATTCTAGTCAAGGTAATTTATTTAAATTGTCGTAATTATAATGTTTATTCTGAAACACACTGAGATATTTTTTTGTTTAAAGAAGAAAGCTCGAAGAGATTATTACTATTGTGCCATGCAAGATGTAAAAGCAGCTTCTCTACCCTTTTCCATTCTCTGTACGGGGAAAAAAAAGCGTTTTTAACTCGTATTTATAATGTTTTATTGCACTAATTGAAGAGGAAAGTTGTTCAAAATTATACTCAGGGCAACCCCTGAAACTGCCGATAAAACGTAAGTACAGTAAATATATATTTTTATTAAAAAAAAATTAAATAATCACTATAATAATATTAATAACTTTTATATAATTATTTTCCTTCACCTGTTAAAAATCTGAAACGTCTAGAAGCAGAGTTATTATTAGTAGTAAAACAAATAATTAAACACCAACCCCCCCCCAATTAACCTTTGGCTGATCCTTAAACCTCCCCCCAGAGAAACACTAATCCCAAAATGAAAGGAAACAAAAGCGCGGGGGTGTGGCGCTAACGTCACCTCAAGTGTCCCCACAGTTGAGCTTCGGGATTCGCTACAAGGAAAGAAGTCATGCTCGTGGGACCCTACCTCGCCTAAGCCCTGTAGTCTAGTCTAGTGTATTGCCCTATTCTACTCTCTCTGCTTTCCCTCTTTGCTTTTATGCGTCTGACCATTGATAACGAAGCAAAACGCCACTCTGTGTCTCCAAGTCTCCATTCACTGACCACCTCGCTGTTCTCTCTGTCTCCCTCCTTGTTTCTTTACCGTTTCGAATGAATACGAAAAATACCCTCGTCTTGGAGGACTAGAAAAGAAGGAAGACTTCTTATTTTGTTTGTTGATTTCTGCCGGAGGAGTAATTCTTTTCTTTGCATATAATCTACGTTACGCTTGTTTGTTATCAAGGAAGATAAATAATGATAATGATTCCAGTGCCCCATCAGGGCTGAGAGACGACTGCCTGCTTTTTTACGTATCGGATCTTTTTCGGGGCTCGCGATTCTTCTTCTTTTCCGTTTCTTGAACCTGCATTTCCTCCTTTTTTTTGTTTTCTGGTATGTTTTCTAGTCCCGTTTTCATTTTTACTCTTAGCTCTGTTCGGTTTCTGAGAAACTGGAGGGAAATACTGGATGTTGAAATATTCATGTTTCTTTTTGTGATATAATAATTAATCTGTCTTTTCCGCCAAATGATGATTAATGGCAAGACTGGCTTCCATTGTTAGTGGAAAACGCATGATTTTCAGGGTTCTTCCTTTTCTATTAGATTTCTCTGTCGCCAAATTATTGAATGAACCTGCATTTTGTTTAGATCTGTTACTTTTCTGACTTGATTCTAAACATGGAGATCAACAAGAAAGTATGAAAATTGCATCAGTTTAGTGACGAAGATCAACAAGGAGATACCTGACCGCCCATTCTGATTTAATTTCCTTGTTTTTTTCCCCTGATACATGTTCTTTTAATTAACTGTGATATTGATTTTAGCTTGATTAAAATTATTGGAAGTTGAAAATCGATTGTTTTGTTGAAAGATGATTTGGATTTCCCATGTCAAACAGCCAAATAGTATAGATACTATTTCTTTCTGGTTTTTAAACTGAAATGAACTGCCATTGACGAAAACAGTGGATTCTTGAAATGGGATGGGCGATTTGTTGGGATACTATCTGAAGGGATCTCTATTACTTTATCTGAAATTTAGAATAAGGGTTAGTGTTAGGATTCCACGACTGGTGAAGAAACAGTCCCAACAACCAGGAACCTAATTCCATAAATCCCAGTAGCTGTTTCCCCCCTTAGGATTTATCTCTGTTCTTGCTTACGGGCTATTGTCTTTCTAGCAACTTCTCAATTTTTCCATGTTTTACTTGCTTCCATTCTGCTTCGTGAAAAAAACATATGTATGCATATTCTCTTGCAGGCATCAGGTTGAGTTAATTTCAGCTTCCTAACTTGTGAACTTATGAATTATGAGAAACTGAAGTTGCTGGAGAGTGAATCAGAACCCTTTTTGCTTGTGCTTTTGCAGGTAAAATGAGTCAGTGAAGAATGGAAGGGTCCAAAATGTCATCTGATGTGAAATCAAGTCGTACATACTCAGAACCTTCCAGTGAAAGGGGATTCGGTTTGGAGCTCAAGAAGAGTTCTAGATGGCAGCAACATTGGGATACTGCTCTTCCAACCCAAGCAATGCAGAGTCTAAAACATCAAGACAAGTTGAAAGCAAAATATTATGGTAGTCAGCGATGTGTTGATATGCCTCGTGAACTGAAACTTCATGCAAATGATAGGATCTTGGTCCAACCAAAAACTTCAGGGAACAGCCATCAGCTGCACTCTGTCAAGAGAAATTCAATAAAGGATGACGAGCTTGTAAAATATATGTCAGATTTGCCAGGTTTTCTCCAGCGCATGGAGAGAAGTGAAAGTATACAGGATAAGGCGTTGAATGTTGGAGTTTTGGACTGGTCACGTCTAGAGAACTGGAGGATTGCAGCAAGTTATAGCAATAGTACATCATTGACTAGCAGCAATTTGCCAAGTAAAATTACTATGAAGTCTGCTGCCTTTCCAAATGCGGTTCACAATAACACTCTTGCTCACCGAAGCAAGCAGCATCCTTCTCTTTCTTCCAGTCTGAACTCTTCTCACAAAGACCATGTTTCTCGAGCTTCCAAACCTCCTATCCAGAATGCTTTGTGCTTTCAAGATTTTGAAACTTCTTCCAAGAGCAGTGTGAACGGGCAGAAAAAAGTACGAAGGACCAACAAGTCTGTTGGCAGAAATAATTCTGATGTCATTCTTGAACAGGGGAAAAGAAAAGATGTAAATCAGAAGATCACTTCTAAAGTTAGAAGTCGGTCTTCAAACTCAAGATACGACAGTATCTCAATCAGGTCCAAGGTGAATATGAGTGCTTGTGACAGTGCGGCCGAGAAGAGAGCTGGGGAGAAGGAAGGACTGGAAGTAAAGAGAAAACCATTGGATCAGACAATTTCTTCAAGGATCAGAACTCCATCATCACAGATGAGAAGCCATGATGTTTCGCCCAGTTCTAAGGCAAAGAATGTTGCTGATGGTAAAACTAAGAAGGGAATAGAGGAGTTGCAAGAATCTTCTATTGATCTTTCTCCTCAACACCAATCCATGGAGAACAACATAGTTCTCCTTGTACCAAAGAAGTTATCCACAAATTGCTCCCCTCAGGAACCAAGGACACTGCTGGATAAGGATTTGAATGAAACACACCGACGGAGCTTGTCAGATGTCTTTTCTCATGTGGAAGTTCAATCTTCTGAAATTCTGCACTCATGCTCGCTGATTTCTAGAAAGGAAACTGACACAGAACCCCACAAATTGCTGCACGCTGCAATGGTTATGCGGGGTGCAGAGACGTCAGCTGATGCATCCTGCGCATCTGCATGTTCACGTAAGATGCCAATTAGACTGTCTGAGGATAAATTTGCAGGAGAGAGCAGTGGTAGGGCTGCAAAAGGAAGTGTTATTGAAACTTCAAATACTTTGGATCAAGAAACAATGGAAGTGATGGCAAGAAAAGGCAGGCATCCTTCACCAAATCACCGGTTTAGCTTCAGCTTAAGCCGAATGAGTAGGAGTTTCAGCTTCAAGGAGAGTTCAGCTGTCCCACAGTTGAGCTCCACCTACATTTCCACGAAGTCTGGCCCCGTGATATCCGGAGGTTCTGCTTGTTTGGATAATTCAAACAGAGAGAAGGCAAGTGGTCATAACAGAGCTAGATCCAGCCCGTTGAGAAGGATGCTAGATCCTCTGCTGAAGTCCAGGAGCTCGAGGACACTTATTTCAGCTGAAAATGACTCTTTAAAAGATAGCTTGAATTCCTTCAACTTGAAGCGATTTGATGCTACTGAACCACTTAAGGATGAAAAGCATGAGCCACCAAGAATAAAAGCTCACCTGCAGCTTTCAATGAGGAACGGAGTTCCTTTGTTCAGATTTGCGGTTGGCAACAATAGCAACTTTCTTGCAGCCAACATGAACAAGTTATCATCACCTCAGAAGAATGATTCGGGCTGCGACTATACATTCTATACAGTTGATGAAATCAAGAGAAAGAGTGGTAGCTGGATAAATCAAGGTAGTAAAGAGAAGAGCTGTGGCTATATCTACAATGTGATTGGCTGCATGAGGGTTAATAATAGCTCTTCTATCTCTGCTTTGACTGGACCAAGCTCTATTTGCCAGATTAAGGTGAAAGAGTCTGTTTTGTTTATTAGGGACCCAAGTCAGGCAGATCAGGCATCGCCAAGGTTCATGGAAAATACGGAGCTTGCAGCAGTTGTTGTCAAAATGCTTAATGAAATCCCAAGCCTCGACCTGCAGCAGACTGATCAAAATGAAAACTTGGGAAAAACTGAACACTCAAATAGTGTTACTACTGTCATACTTCCCGGTGGTAATCATAGCTTGCCAAACGAGGGAGTTCCTTCTCCATTGATACATCGGTGGAGATCTGGTGGATCATGTGACTGTGGAGGTTGGGATGTTGGTTGTAAACTACGCATACTCTCCAATGGAAGCCAGTGTAGTGAGGTTCCAAGGACATCCAAAAGTTGCCTTATGCCAGATTGTCTTGAACTTTTCAATGAGGTACTGCGTTTGTGTTTTAGCTGAGAATTTATGTTCACCGCTCTCGTGGTGTCACTATATAGGCAGGCATCTTATTTTGTATATCCACTCATGCAGGGAGCAAACCAACAAGATCAGCCTCTCTTCAGTTTGGCACAAGTGGAAAAGGGAATGTATTCGATTGAATTCAGTTCATCAATTTCTTCATTACAGGCATTCTTCATTGGTGTCACGGTTATAAGCTGTCAAAAATCAACTGATCTTCTGGATGTCAGCAATGCTTCCGGTGAAAAGTTTCAACAGGAACCAAGGAACTCCAGTGATGTAACAAAGAAGATCCACACCATGCCCCCAGGGAAGACACATGTGAAATACACTCTAAGCCCCCCTCTTTCCCCTTTTGAAAGGGTGTAGTGGGTTCGTGCCAGGAGACTGTTTGCTGTTGGTGTATAGTTGCTAAAGTTCTTGAAATGGCAAAGAGGGATTAGAGAATGGCGTTCATGATTGATCGCATTGTTTTTCATTGACTTGGGTCGGAATGATTTTTCGTCAGCTGTAATCACCACTAATATCACCCTTGTGTTGAGTGTGAAGAAAACAATGCTATGAAATATACAGCTCTGAAATTCAGAGAGTACAGAGTTTTTAGAAGGCAAAAATTTACGTTATCATCACAGAACAGCGACTATATAGTGCCTTGTGCAAAATTTCTTTTGAAACAGGAAAGGCTGGCGTTCATGTTAAGCTTTACATTTTAGAATGAAATGTTAAATCTGTAGATTGATGTGGTAAATTATGAGGGCTTAAAGTAACGGTGCTTTCCTAAATCATCATGATATTGTTGCTAGTATTCGAAAATCTAATTTCGTACGACACTGAATGAAGGCGGTGTGGCTAGAAAGGGGAAGAACTAGGGATGATCAAGAAAGAAGCTGTATCATCGTACTTAATAGTGGCTGTTTTTAACCAGAAATGTGCCGGTGCTGAGTATATGCTCTACAAAAAGAAAACGTCAACCATATGATTTTGCTCATCTTAGTTTTCACAATATTAGTAGGATATCAAAGCCCATTCTTGACAATGTTACTATGAAATCATAGCAGCTGTTTGAATGTTTGATCCAATCTCCGGAATTGCATCTTGAGCTCAAATAAGTGGATGCCAATTGCCCAGGCTCTGTCAAGAACACCACGCCAAATAAACCATATCCTGCAATCCAATGCCTGGTAAATGATCCTCTTTGTTTAAGAGATACTTTGGGCAAATACCCAAACATAACAGTACCCTTTTAACATACACGATACGCTATAGTTTTAAGATCTAAGCTGATTATAAATGCAATTTTCAGAAACATTTCTCACAATCTACTTTATAGGTAATAGATTTAAGGTGTTAAGATCACTGAGAGGGTTGCTGAAACTTTGTATGCCATGCTGTGCAGTTGTTAAACCAACATTTATTACCAGGACTGAACTGTGATGCAAGTGAATCTACATAATTAAAATAGGGGCAATCATCTTTTGCATGTATTGTGATGTAATTGTGAGGAGCTTACAAGTCAACAGGTGAGGCATGGTGAATGGAGATGAACCACCGACCATCGATCTTCTCAAAAACATTTGTTACAAATTGTGCCCCCCAACTGCGACCTTTTGTTCTCACAAATTCTACACATGTAACATAACCTAAATCTCCCCTGAAATGCACTCTAATATTTTTCAACTCAATATCTAGTGGGAAATCATAGTTCATCCATACAAGCTCCCAGCTTTCCATGACATCATCATAACCTAGAACCCCACTAGCACCTGGGTGCACGCAACATACATTATCTGATTTTTCCCAAAGGGATTGCATGGCAGCCAGATCCCCCTTCCTGAAAGCATTATAAAACCGAGCATTTGTTGCCAGTACTGAAGCCTTGCTATCTTCCTGGAGTACCTTAAGCCTGTCCCTGATTTTTGCAGCTTGGGTATAGTTCTCTTCTTCAATAGCAACCTGAAGCTCACGCATTAAGGTCTGCTGATCCAATACAATGCTTTCACCACTTGATACTTCCTCTGAATCTTCACTTCTTACTTGACATGCTCTTAATGACAATAAGCGGGCAGGCTGTGCAAAGGGTTCTGTGCTATATACAAATATAAAATTAGAGACCTGCTCCAACCTAGCACTAATTTAGACAGGAGGAAAGACAACCGAGAAACGAAAAAAAGGAAGAAATGCAGACCCGCCATAAACAGTGTTCAACTATGGGCGCTTCCGCTTGCTTGCGAGGAGTAAATCATAAGCCAATTAGTTATCTCGCTAGTCTTGGATTTTTTTTTTTTCCTTTTTTTTTCATGGTTAGAAGGGAGGTGACTCCTAGAACCTACTAACCTCATTGACTATGAAATAAAAATGTCTAATCAATCCATCTGAGAATATGTCTAAACGTTTGCCTCCGCAACAATAGACGAGGACAATGCAAGTTGGAACATCAATATGGAAGAGACACTGAAGTGACATAAATATATTCAATCAGATATCATCAAAAACTAAAAAAATAGCAGCTTTAGACTTGCTGTCGTCTGTAAGTGCTGTGGTTCACTTGCCCAATAACAAGGTCAGACTATAAAGAAGAAAAAAGAGATGGAAAAGCAAAGAAACTTACGGATTCCTCCTCCGATGTGCAACTTTTTAAGACAATGATGTCCTTCAGACAAAAATATGTTTGGTTTCAGGGAAGGTGAAGAGAAACTATGGATTCTCATGAAACTATTGATCCATGAACATTGCTGTCTCTTAAACTCTCTTATATCAATAAAATTTACCTACAACAACGTGCAAGCTAATGATCATTAGAATAATCTTACATGAACCTCAATTTAACATAATGAAATTTCAGGATATGCTGGTTCATTAAAATGAACATTCAATTTCATATCTTTTGAAGATAAAAATCAAAAAAGAAATGAAATTTAAAGGGTGGTGATGGACAGATTAACAAGCAGAGTCAGATAACAATACGAGAAAAAAAAGAGTAATAATGAGAATTAAAACTCACCTTGTAGCAAGAGCTAGATCCATGTAGAGCCATGACTCGGGTGGGTTTTTGACAAAACCTAAAATAGTGACAAGAGTTAAGGTAGGGTTTTGAATGTTCAGGTAGAAGGGAATGGAAACAGAGGAGGGGCAAGGTTGTCCTGCACCGTTTAAGGCCATTCTGAGAAAGATGATAGATCTCGACTTTCATATGGGCTTAGCCTTGAAAATCATAGAATGGGCTCATCTGTTTTGTATTCTGATTTCTGCTTAAAAAGCTAACAAAACAATCCTTCATGGGCTGTAGGAGATCGTTTAGAACCACAAGAGAGAAATTACAGGATATTTGCAGTCTTCTTTAAACGTAGAACCCGTGTATTTATATAATTTTTACTTTTTATTTGAATTTAGTTTATGTTTAATGATGTATTTAGACTGTGTTTAGAAGTTTTTTTAAAAAAATATTTTGAATAAAAAAACTAAATTAATTTTGTTAACTATTTTTTATAGTTTTGATATAGGATATCAAAACCATGAAGAAACATTTGGGAATGCATTAGATTTTATATATTCTTGATTCAAACTCACTTTAACCAAAAAAAAAAACATACATCTCATTAGTGAACACATGCTAGATAAATAGTAGTGCAGAAGAGAGCATGTTGCCATCAATCAAGGTGCTTTATAGTTTGAATAACGAAACACCCTTTTTACTTGTAGATCAAGAACATGCGGGGAATTTATGTAGATAAACCATTTGTCAAGAAACTTCTTAGATGGTCCCCAATTAAGTTTTTCTCTATTATTGAAATTGATACTTGTAAAATTAATTTAAAATCTTAGGATCAAATTGAGTTAAAAAAAAATAAAAAATAAACAATTAATATGACTCGATTAACCTGATAAATTAACCTGGTAATAAGGTTAATTTAATAAGACTCGATCAAAAATCTAATTATAATCCATTAAATTTTAATTTTTTAATTAAAACAATGTCGTTTTAATTTAAAAAAATTGACCTGAATGACCCGATCAAAACTCGGAATCCAAGCCTTAAATCAGGCCGGATCTAAAAATTATGGATGAGCGGGGAATTTATGTAGATAAACCATTTGTCTTCTTTACAAGAAACTTCTTAGATGGTCCCCAATTAAGTTTTTCTCTATTATTGAAATTGATACTTGTAAAATTAATTTAAAATCTTACGATTAAATTGAGTTAAAATAAAAATAAAAATAAATAATCAATATGACTCGATTAACTTGATAAATTAACCTGGTAATAAGGTTAATTTGATAAGACTTGATCAAAAATTCAATTATAATCCATTAATTTTTAATTTTTTAATTAAAATGACGTCGTTTTGGTTTAAAAAAATTAACCTGAATGACCCGGTCAAAACTCGGAATCCAGGCCTTAAATCAGGCCGAATCTAAAAATTATAGATGAAATACATCCTATTTATTTTTACATTTTAAAAGTGTTTTTTTAAAAATAATTTTAGTTTTAGTTTATTTTTATTTTAAATTAATTATTTTTTATGTTTTTTGTATTGTTTTAATATAGTGGTATAAAATAGATTTTTAAAAATAAAAAAATATTCTTTTAATTTATTTTTAATTAAAAAAAAATTAAAAATTAATTATCATCACAGACACAGAAACAAAAAATTTAGCTACAATCCATTTCATTGTGCATGCCAACAAGCCAATGACCCCAAATGCCTTGTGAAATTTCCTCTGTACAGTAGCTGTGAAACTTTCAGCTGCAAAATACTTGCAATTTGGTGCCTTTGCTGAGAAGATTTAAAAAAAAATTGCCAGATCACGTGGCCCCTCTAGAAAACGACGGTTGGTGTGGGGCCGGCTTTGAAGTCAAGTCAATATTGTTTTGCAATATTTGACCATATTATGGGCACCAACTGCCAAGTGGTCAGAGGAAAAACTTGGTCAGAAAGTTGTATTCTTATTTCTTACAGACTCCATCTTCTCGAGAGAGAAGAATCACTTGCTTAACCCACGAGCTAACTGACAGCTCCAATGGTGTAATGAAAATTATTATTTTTTCAAAGATTGATAGCAGAGAGAGGGATTTTTTCTTTTTTTTAGATCTAAAGGGAGAACGAGCAATTAACTGTTAACTAATGAGTAGAAAAGCATTCATGTTTTCAATAAATGGATCGATCCCACATAATTAAAAGATTGTTTTCTACCATCAAAACATGTGAGAGGACTTGTTTACGTGAGCAGACGGGTAGTCGAGTACGAGATTTTTCAAAAGCGTGTTAAAGGTTTTTATAGAAAGTATTTTTTATTTAAAAATATATTAAAAAATACTTTTTTATGTAAAAAATGAAAACTGAGGAACCCTAGACGCTGTTTGGGGAATTGAATTGACTAAGAATATCATTCTAAGAGATTGATTTTTTTGTTGTTGTGAAGAATCCGAGTGAAAGCAGTAGCTGCTCATGGCTTCAAATTGGCCGCAGTTGAAACCCAGTCGGAGCACAAATTATGAGACCAACTGGAGTTCTACGTTGTGCACAAAATGTCTTCTTTTCAGAGCATATATGCTAATGCATTTTGAAAGCTATAAATAACAATCTTTTTCAGGAATCCAACACCGTCCCCCTTCTAAAAAGAAAGAAGAGAAACCCAACACTATCCAAGAAAAAAGCGGTGGGGATGGTACAATATTCTTCGTTGATCGAGCTGTGTGTTCTATGGACCACGAGCGTGGGGACCTTCCAATCTGGAGAACTTCTATATGCAGAAAAGGCAGATTTTCTTGAGTCTAAGGGCATCGGGATTTTAAAGTTTAAATTGACTATTCATGGTGCCACCAAGTTGTTTCCTTATTTTGATGGCATCTTGTGGTTCTAAGCCAATAACAAAGATCGTGAAGCTAAGATGCTGCCATTTACGCAAAAACAAAGGTGCTGGCTGGCTCCTCATCGCTCCTCTTTGCCACTGCCGAAAGGGAGCTGATGCAACAAACAAATAGCCAGCAGAGAAAGTCAGGGACCTGAGCTGTGAATTGGGGGGCGGGAGGCGGCTAATGAAGAAGTAAGAAAGGGGAGATGAATTATCCACTGTTTTTTTTTTTTTTTTTGCTTTGATCTTTCCCTTACTTGTATCTTTTTTAAAATGTTTATATTTTATATTATTTAAAATAAATATAAGGGTTACTTGTAGAAAAAAATATTTTTTAAATTAAAAGTAAAATAATTAAAATTTTAAATTCAATTTATTTTGACATGTGTTTTGAATAATATAATTAAATTTAATTATGTGATCGATTTGGTGTTTTATTTAAAATTAATAATTATAATAGATTATGGATTGAATTCAAATTAATTTATAAATTGTTTCCAAATCCAGCATGTTAGTTATAAAGTTCATATAATATATCCAAATCAAAAATTAAAATACCCTAATTAGTACAACAAAAGTAGTAGCAGAGTCGTCGTGCAGGAGTAAGAGAGCCAACCCCTCCTCTAAAATCAAAGAGGCAACCCCTCCTCTAAAATCAAATTCCTTTCTCTTTTTTGTTTTTAATATAGGTTTTTGGGTCAAGAATTCTATGCATGGTTGAGATATATATGGGTATGGAATGAGGTAGCTGATGGGTTTTTAAAAAAAATTGGCTTGTCTAATTGTCATATTTTTTATACTTGACCTGTTAGAGACTTCATCTTTTCCTGTTAGGTCAGCTAGATATGAAAGCTCTAAAAATATTAGGTTTGTATTTTTAAAAATTAGTTATTTAAAATATTAGGATTTATAATAATTTTATAGATTTATTAAATTAATATATATATATAAGTAATATTATATGAGTGAATATAAAATGAAATAAAAATTTTGATGAATTAATAAGTATTTTGTTATAAATTTCATATGAAAAATAATAATAATAAAATTACTAATAATTAAAAATAAAACACAGAACAACTAAAAAAATTAGAGATATAATAAATAAATTAAAAATATTTAATATTTATGTTTTATCCACTTATACAAAAAAACAAGTCAGCAAGAACAATATTAATTTATGATAATTTTTTTAAGTTATGATTTTAGATGTTATGTATTATATATCAGTACAAAATTATTGTTAAGAACTTCCTCGGTTCTTAAAAGATTTAAAAATAAATAAATAAAAATTTGCTATATTAAGAAATATATTTTTAATGAGATTAAAAATCAAATTATTATGAAACAGTTTTAAAATATAAAATTTTAAAAAAAATAATTATAACATAAATTTTTTTATTTTAGGGCTTTGGTTTGTTTTTTTTTTTTTTTTTTAAGGTGGACTCAAAGGCAATTTAGTATTTTGATTACCCTATATATATATATATATATAAAAGTGTCACTAAGAAGTACAACTCAGTTATCATTATTTCAATTCGTCTAAGTGGTGTCCATCTCTTTCGATGGTGCGTGCATAGTTTTTAAACCCGGTTCAGTGGCTGACCCGGTTTAAGGTCTGGGTTCTGGGTTTTGACCGGGTCATTGGGTTTTGATCGAGTCGGCCGGGTCAATTTCTATTTTAAAAAAAATTCAAAACAACGTCGTTTTAATAAAAAAAAATGTCAATGGTTTACCACCGGGTTTTTGACCGGGTTTTGTCGGGTCGTTCGGGTTTCCGGGTCAACCCGCCGGATTGACTGGGTCACGCCGGGTCATGGCTTATCTTATTTTTTTATCAACCCGGCCCGGTTCCAGCCCCGGGTCGGCTAGATCCCGGGTCAACCCGCCGAGCCGGACCGGATTTTAAAACTATGATTTAGTAATTGTTTTTTTTATTGCAATGTTTTTTTTATCTAAATAAATTACTTTAATTTGAAAACTGTTTTTAAATTTATCATCCTTCAATTTTTTTTATATTTCAAACATGGTTCATATTGTTTCGATTGTTGTTTTTTAATTGTTATTATTTTTAAAAATATTTTTTTTACAATCCTCATTTCTTTTTTTTACTATTTTTTAAATTTTGAAATTTTTTTTGATTGATTGACTATTCTAATTTTATTTTTTAACATTAATTTTGTTAGAAATTAGGTTTCTTGATGGAGCAAAAGTTTAGAATTTTATAAATTA